TTTAATAAAACACCTAGGCTTTCCTTTGCTTGACCATTTCTCGTATGGGTTTTTCTGCTTCTTTTAAGTTTGATTCCAGGTAAGCTTTGTGACTCTGCAAGATAAAAACAAACTTAATTTTAGAGCAGAAAACAAAAAATATGCTGACAGTATCGGAGGTGTAGCAAAATAGATAGTGTATACCTCTAATGACTTAATTTTTTCATCATATTTCTCAGACTTAATGTGCAAGCCCTGAGTTATTTCTGGTGCATCTCGAAGGATGAACATTCTACCAACACTCTCATACATGTTGGTATTAGGTGGCAAACCCTGAGAAGGAAAAGAGAGAAAATTAAATTGTGGGCAATGATTGGTGGTGTAAGTACACGATGAAAACACTCACCTTTAGTTCCTGAATGGTTAACTCTGAATGGATCTTTGATTTTTTCAACCCATCAATTTGAAGATCAGCTAGCTTTAACTTTTGGGCTGTGTCTGTCATTTTAAGTTGAAGTTCGGCAAAAGCCTGTAATACCAGAGGAGGTGAATAGTGAGGTTAAGAAATGTCGAATTACATCTTCGGGATTCGGTGGTACAGGTAAAACAAGAAAAATAGAACTAAGAAAGGGTGTACTAGAAAAGTTCCATTTAAGAAGAATAATCATCTTTGGAAGGAAATTAATTTGATTGACAACTATTCCATGCCTCCGCGATCAAACTCAAAGTTGATTCTTGGGGCCAGACTCCGTAGACAACTTAAATTACACATATCATGAGAAAACTATATAAAGTTCACAAAATTTCCAGAAAAAAATCATTTTCTTTTTACCTTTTTCAACTCTAAATCGACAGTTTTTGCCATTTTTGCGGTTTTCGTGTTGCACTTGTGATCTTGTGATGGTTGGTTAGGGATACACAATCAGTGTGGTCAACAGCACAGATGGAAAATACTCCAAAAGGGAAAGTGACAGTTTACACTGTTTTGGTGGTACGACTACCACGTCGGCAGCCATGTTGAGCCAAGTGAAGAAAGGAATGCGATAATGTTTATGTTGTGAAGATCTGTGACAGAATGAATCATCCAAAATGTAGAGTTATTGCAGTTTTTTATGTTTCAAGAATTTTGAAGTGTTGACTCTAAGGAGCACCAGATATCTGCTTTACTTCTTTGCACTCAGAAGGATGATACATCATTTTTCCCGACGTAGAAATGGGTGAGTTGACTTGCAGTAGGCCAATATTGTTCAACTTTCATCCCTATTATTTACTGGCAATACTTCATTGTGAAGCTCTCAATGCATTTTCTCGACAAATCCTTCCTTTTACCTGAATCTGCCCTCTTTATTTCTAAGCCCTGGTCAACCAATTTATTCATATGTGTCAAACTTTCAATGCTGTAGCCACTGTCATTTAATCACTTTTAGTTGACAGACATCAATGACCAAATGAAATATAACTTATAACGTATTCTACGAGTTTCATAAAATTTTAAGTGTCATTCCGTGTTAACATTCCTTGTGCTTTTCTACGGCATTGAATATTTGCCTACCTGCAATTTTAACATTTCATTCTCCATACCTAACCTCAATGAAATGGTAAACAACAATCGCTCATACGTCAGTACGAATGCTCCAGCCTCTGAATAGAACACATACCAGTTTCCAATAGCGAAATAGTTAATGTTATTACTATTAAAAATCTCCTTATAAATTTCATAGGGCTGTTTATTGGTAAAGGCGACATAGCGACATAAGCTACTAACCTACTTTCATGCTCTTCGTAATTCTTGTGAATATTATCATCCTTATTTGGTGTGTTTTCAGAATGTGAAAGTCCACTGCCTGGACCGTCTAGTGCGGTTTCTCCAACTTCTTGTGCAGCAAGTGTAGCTAGTTTAGGAAGTACGGGAAGTGCAAATGACCTAGCTGCCAAAAAAGCAGAAATGGTGGCGACACTACAAGCAAGACGAGCTCAGCTTGAAGCCAAATTAGCTGCTAAAAATGAAGAGCTTAAAATGCTTTGCATTCAAGAGGCGGAACTCACTGGTGTTCTGCCACCTGAAATACCTTTGGAACCAGGCGAAACTCCACCAACATTACGAAGAAGAGTTGGCACCTCATTCACACTTCCTGAGAGTTTGTTAAACAAATTGCGATCAACTGAAGTATGTGATATCTGTGCTATTTTTGTGTTATCAACAAAGCCAGTTAATTGTGTCAGACTAGAAACTTATTGTTTATATTGTGTTGCAGGAGGAGTCTGTGCCAGCTGTGGAATTGGAAATAAAAATCCAGACTGGCATTGCTGAAGCAGCTCTTGGGCTTGCCAATGACACTGCAGCTAATAAACATGTCCGCAGGAAACACAGACTCATGTACCAGCAGAGTCAGAGAAGATTACAAGATTTAGAAACAAAGTTGATAGGTTTACGAGAAAAACAAGAAGCTCTAGATGCTCAAAATGAAGCTCTTTCATGTGCTCAACCACAGCAGCCAACTCAACAGCAACACATGCAATATCACCAACAATTGCAACAACAACAACAGAATCAATTAAAACACAGGAAGAAGCCCCGCCCACCTGTTGATAATGGTAATCTTTTGCATCTTATTTTGGTTTAGGTTATCCTCATCATTCTTCTTAATGTTAGCTCATTCTGCTTATCTCTTAAGATTCAGATGTGGCAGAAGTTGATGGTAGTATGCTCCATGCTGGTGGCATCAGTTTGTCTCCCTTGGGGCAAATGGATCGTGACATAAGGGAGGGGCGTCTAAGTTCAGCATTAACAGCGAGCACTAATACTGTAGGTTTGCCATTGCAGCCTGCCACAACTCACAGGTATTTGACAAAGATCTTGTTGATTCTCTGTTATGATGTAATACTAAACCCCCAGTAATAATTTTTTTTAAATCTAATCTAAATTTTTATTTCAAATAAATTATCTACAGGCACAGCAGCTACCGGTACTCAACAATTGATTCATCGTGGAACATGGAGCCAGATCGCCTTAGTAGGAGAGAAACTGTTCAAACCGGTAAGAAGAGTTAAATCTTGTTGTAAGTTTAAATTTGCCTCTCTATTATTGAATATTATCAATTAAATTAAATTTATTCAAGGAGCTGGATCATCCAACTATTGGAATGCATCCGCGTCCAGACAAGAAATACCTAGTCCTGGCAGTTCCCGATACTCAAGTTCTCGTTATCCGTCTGGAATACCAGTAGAAATGGATGAAAGTTTGAGACCAGCAAATCAGAGATGGAAAAGAGATAGGTAAGATTTCTTTTTCTCTATTTTTACCTGCCCGGTGAATTTTTGTCCAGTTTTCCATAAGAATGCATATTTAAATTTATTTCCATCGCTTCAATCTACTTCCCAATTTTTCCCACAGATCCATGATGGGTATGTCAAGGTTTGGTAGCTTGGACCGAAGAAGGGCTGGTGCAGCAAATGTCACGGCAAACTCTACTAGCTCAACTGTAAGCAACATAGACGAAGCAGAAGCAGGTGTACCTGCCCTTTTACCCAGTCAGACTTATCCAGAACATAGTTTAGGACATAGCCTAGTTAGAACACAATCTCTAGGCAGTGTAGAAGCTACACGTCCTAGAAACTTGCAATCTGATCGAGATGCCTCAAGAGGTAATATCTGAGTAATATTTCTATCTATCTGGTCTTAGTTCAGTGTTTTGTAAAATATTTATGTAAAATTTTTGGTTTCAGACGGGTCCCAAACTATTGATCGCAAACCAAAGGAAAAAGAATGGTACGAAACATCACTAGATGTTGCCCCTGTGTTGTCCCCTCAAGGATCTCAAGGAGAACCACAGAGTCAACACAGTCATCCTCCCTTGCAGGCTTCTCTTTCCCATCCTCCTCCTCATCCTCATATGTATCAGTCTCATCCTCAGCTCCACCACGCACCTCACCAGTCACCTCCTCTACCTCTCCCCTTATCTCAGTCCCATTCGCACTCCCACTTGGCTCAAGTAGCAACACCCGTTTCTGTGCATATTCCCAACCACCACAGTCAGCACTCCCACAGTCAGAACCACCCTTCTTTTGCATCGTCCATTCCCCAATCACAATCACACCCTCAACTCCATATGCAAGGATCTATGCCACACAATCCTCCTCAACTACCTCCTCACCCACAGTTACACCCAAAGCTCAGTTCAACACAGTCAGTCTCTCATTTAACAGTGCACATACCTCCACCAAAGCCTCATCTACCTCCCCCTCCCTCACATCAATACCCACAATCTCAACCCCCTGCCATTCCCCCTCATGCAGCCCCTCCTTCTGCTGCTCCTCCGCTGCCCCCTCATCCCTCATCACATTCCCCGGCCCATGCTCAGTCTCACCCACCACCTCTGCCTCCGTCACACTCCTCCATGCATCACTCGCCCCAACTCCCTCCTCAGATCCCGCCTCACACCCCTGTCCCTGGGCACATGACATCACACCCGTCACATGCTTCCTTACACTCGATCCATACCGCACAGCAAATCACTCCCCGGAATATCCCTCCAGAAGTGCCCCCTCATGTTCCATCGCATGCACAATCCCATCATGCATCACATGCTCACCCTCCTCCGCCTCCACCACCCCAATCCAGTGCTTCCTCTCATCCTCCTTTGTCTCCGAAGTCTGATGACGGCCCTCTTTCTCCGCCACATGTGCCTCTAGAGTCACCTAAGAACCACATGGTGGTGCAGGCTGGATCATGGCAACCATATCGTGAGGTTAGTTCTTTGAAATACAACCAACCGTCATTAATAGTTAACCCCCTCCCTTTTTTTGAGGGAAGGGGGGTGAATGATTTCTTTCTAAACATTTTATTTTTGTCTTTTGTTTACAGGTTACAAAACCATTTGAGATGTCTGACTTTTACAAGTACAGTACAAAGTTTCGCAAACAGATGCATCCCCCGCCCCCTCCTCCCCCTCCTCCGACAAGTTCGTCTGTAACTTTGTCACCGGACGGAGCTCCTCAATCTCCCCAATCCCCTCAGCAGCAGAAAGGTGTTTACACGCCTTTGCAACCGCTAACTTGTCAACCCTTGGAGCCACAATGTAGCATGTAAGTGCTTTGAATTTGCCTCCACTTTATGGAAATATGAAATGCAATCTGACTCTTACTGACTGGATGATTCCTGCATCTTCAGGCGCCCCCCTGGTGCAGATTCAAGCTTTGGCAGTCCTGCTGCCAATTCTGAATCCCTAGCTGATGCATTCTCCAATGAAATGCTGGCCTGGTTTCAAGATCAAAGAGCACCGCCAGCTCCAACCCCAGCAACCCCAGCATCAGGACCTCCACAACGCTCAGCAACACTAGTATAATATACATAATAGGTTTATTATGTGACATTAAGTTTTAAATGCAACCAGTTACCTGCCTCATTCTGTCTCTGTATTTATTCATTTTCATGATCGCATTTCTTCAAGTTCTTGAAAAATTTTCCATGAAGTTTTTGTAGGGATGAAGCAATTTGAACTGGTTGGATTTTTTACTTGGCTGTGTACCTCTTTTAATTTTAGAAGAAAATGTATGGAGGGTAGATATTTAAATGTCAGTGAAAAATGAATTCTTATCACAGAGTGCTCTTAGAAACAATATCAATACTCAAGATTTGACTTTTGTTTTGCATATTTCTGTGGCAAGTCCATACAGATATATATTACTCATTAAGTTGACATTCAAATTTTATATTTGGGACCAATGCTCCTACAACTTGGGCAAACCAATATTATGAACCGCTCTCTAGTTAGTATCTCTCATTATTCTCATGAGATTTGATCTGACAGAGAGACTTTTATTTACCATTGATATTTAGATACATGATTGATTGATGATTTAATTTGGATTGTTTCATCATAAATTTGTTGTTCTTTAAAGTGTAAATTTGTTTTTCTTTAAAATGTGTCGTTTTATTTTATAATACCACAAAGTGCAATTAAAGTGATGTTACTCTAGGTAATTTTTAAAAGACAAAACTGGAGTCTTTTTCAATTGTAATTTTAATTGGTGTAATCGTAATTATGACATTGTTATTCCTGTAAATGTCTTTTGAACAGTCTGGTCTCCAACAGATCTCTCAACTCTAACTTATTTTTTAAAAAGTACTCATCTATGACAATAAATTGCATGTTACATGTTGTATGTTGTAAGACTTTGATTAGACTTCTGGTTATTCTAATTTTGTTTTTGCCCCCCATCAAAGACTGCTAAGAACTTCCTTCTACAATTAAGTATGTCTGTATTAACCCTGTATAGTGCCTTATTTTATAACTGTACTTTGTACTATATATTTATGTAAAAATGTTCTCTCTCTTGAGAGAGTATTTTATATTTCTGAGGCTTTAGATATTTTCAGTATGATTTACATTATGAAGTGTAGGGTAAAATTGAGAACCAATGAAATCTTATCTACTACAACTTGTGCCTTGATTCGTGTTATTGTCACTGGTCTTCTTGAGCACTGGTACATATAACTCTCCTCCCCATTTTTATCATATAATGATGGCATTTATTGTACATGGGACCAATCACATGTAAATCTGTGTGCAACTCCTTCTCACTTAAATAACTTGTGATAGAGGGTTCTTCTACCCTCGATAACAATTTTGTTTTAATTTTCTCATGGTGATGAATTTGTTGTTATTAATGACCAATGATTTTTCTTTTATGTGAGGACTCTTACATTAACAAATTGTGTCTTATCCCATTATGTACAGGGCTTATGTACTTATCTATGTATTTCATTTTCTATCGATTGTTGTATGGTTCTTTTTGAATTAACTTAAACCCATAAATCATATCAAGACAGTTTTTGAGAAAAATGTGACTAGAACAGTTTTGACCCATACTCATAAAGTAATTTTGTTCCAACCACTTGTGTCACCCTACTGTCTGTCAAGAATCATAAAGTGATTTTGTTCCAACCACTTGTGTCACCCTACTGTCTGTCAGGAATCATAAAGTGATTTTGTTCCAACCACTTGTGTCACCCTACTGTCTGTCAAGAATAATTTAAGGCAGTTTTTAGAGTTTGTGACTGTTTAAAGTACAAAGGGTTAATTTTCAACCCTTAGTCAGGATATTATCTTACTAGCTCCTCTCCCTTGTGTACATACATGACTGACCAAATTCTATTTCCAACATTGAGTTACTCAGGAGTTAGTGCACATGTAGTAATGTTTTTGTTTGTTTTATAAATCAATAAAACTGGCTGTTGCTGATTTCCGTTATGTTTTTACCTTCAACTTACAATTCATGAAAAAGTAGGAAAAACTAGAAAAAATACCAAGTTTTCAGTCCACATGACATGGAAAATAGTTTTAATTCCATATAGACAGCAATGTAACAACACAAGATCCACCAAGGAAAGTCTGACACCTTCAGGTTAGGTTGCAAAATTTTGTTTCAAACCAAATTATATTGTCTATCACTTGCATTTTGCTTTGAAACACTGAACTTGAAATTGTCTATTAGCGGCTTAGAATATACCAATGCAGATAGATTTTAGAAGTAGGTACAATTAAAGAAGCATTTCATTATGATGAAATTTGATATCCACAGATTTCATTTTTTCTTACAACCATCTACAAGACTATGTAACACAGCCATGGCATGGCTGCATTATTTGTAAAACTCTCCAACATACATCGATTGTTTACAATATTGTGTACACACAGTATCACTAGGAAAAAAGTAGTTTTCAGAAATCTAGATGCTGGAATGGTATGTGTATAGAACTTTGGAAAGATTCCATTTAATAAAATTATTGGGGCTCCAAGCATACTGCATGCTGTACAAGAATATTTACATAGTTCGCAAGTCTTCTTTCTAGGTAACTGATGTGATAGTTTGTTTCACAACAATCCAGTACAGTGTGCTGTAGCACTATTTGAGTCAAGAAACAATGTTGTTGAACAACATTTTTAAGCAGTATGAAAAGCTATGATAAGACAGAAAATTCTGTTTGGTTAAAAGCCACTGCAGACTGCAGTGAAGGCATCAGGCCTCAATGGTACATATTCAAGGTCGATGACAATGACATATCCTCCATTTCAAATAATTATAATGTTTGCATTTAATTTTATTTGTAATGAATAATATAACATAGTAAGAAATATGATACACAAGATAAGATGAGGGAGGGTGAAGGGTAGAAGAAAGAAAGGAGGGGACAAGAGGAAAATGGGGAAGGAAGAAGAAAATCATCTACCGCAACACAGCTCAGTAGCTCAGTACATTGGACAACACAGTACAGGGATTCTTATCAGAGCTGTACCATAAGTCTGATTCACAGCATTTACATAAAGAGACATCCAACCGCCTGAAAAATGTCAAATAATGGTAAACAAATTATACATTAAAATCACAAATTCAATATACTATGTGAACAAAGAATGGAAACAATTTTACTGAACAGGATATAGAATGTTGGGGCCAACCTTTAGGCACACCATTTGTCACACAAGGAAAAAATAATAAACAATCAAAACATTTTACAACATAGAGGAAACAACAACCAACAAAACTAAGTTTCTGTGCAGACTGCACTTAAGAAAAATTAAAAAAAAAAAAAAAATTCACAGCGCAAACACATCCCTTACATCAACATATAGTTCCGGCAGCGAGAGTCTTGCTATGAAAAAAAAAAGTGACTTGTAGCAGTACACACGCAAATGAGGAATATAAGTTACAAGTTACACTTAGATAATGGTCATTGGTGGGATTTTGAAGACCTGAAATACTAAGTCCAAATATTGACTACAATTGATAATTATAACCCTCAACAAACAACTAATTAGAGCTAACAAAAATTGGAGCTCTCACTAGAAGTTGATATTTTGCTAAACTAGAGGCCCTGGTGGTGGCCAAGTGTAATATAGCTAACCCTTAGGTGTACAATACATATCAAGCAACTTTCTTCCACGATAACATGACAAAGCTCAAACGCTTCACAATAGTGTCAATGGAATTTGATAGAATTTTGTATACAGTCTGAAGATAAAGTCAAAGGGCATTCCTATTCACAATATATTATATATATTTTTCAACTAATTGCATGAAAAGTCATATATCAGTAAGGGAAGGCTTAGGAGAGGATCAGTTCAGGCGACGACGGGTTCAGGCGGGCTGATATCACACAGGGGTTGATCCGTGTCCATGGCCTCGGAGCTCTTCCCGGCGGGCTGCGTCTCGGACTTGGCGGTCCAGTGCTGGGGCTGCGACGAGCCGTACGGCGAGTGGCGCGCCTCGCGCCGCGCCCGCCTCCGCTCCCGCCTCTCCTCCATGACCAGCCGTAGGCGCTCCACTTTACCGCGCGTGGCCTGGTTCTCCGCGTCATCTGCAACGATACACAGGCTAGGATTAGCGAAACAAGTACGCATATGCCGCTTGGTAATTCCCCCGAGCGCTCGTGACAGGCGACTCAAAAGGGAGTGAAAAAAAAGAGAAGGACGTATGCTAACTCCCGCGACTTACCTGACGACTGAGGGGGTGCTGACTGGGTGTCAGTGGTCTCGCCCGAGCTAGGAGTGGTACTTGAGGTGCTCGATGAGTTGGGTTCGAGGACAAAGTTGCTCTGAGGTAAGCCCTGGTACGAGCGCCGGTACTGCGGCGTCGCGCACAGCAGGTCATTAAGAATGTGAATTACTGTACTAATATCACGCTTCGGCCTCCCAAAGCGGTCTTGAAGAGCTGGATTTAATGTTCCTGTGAAGAGGAAGATAGAAAAGAAAGCCGTTAGAGCTAGGTATCAATCTCAACGTGGAAGTGTAACCGTGCGAAGCATCGGGCGCGGTGCATACCTGAGAATGTACCCGAGTAAACTCCTTTCCCATGGTTGTGCATACTCTCTATGATGGCGCCTTGGCGGCGTCGGGCAGCTGCGGTGTCCTGGAACAAGACAGATCAGAAATTAGACAACTCGCTTTGACGTCCACTCGAAAGTATATACATTTTCTCCATCCTCTGAACACGCCGCGAGCCGGACTCAAGGGGGGCAACGAGGGAGGGCT